GACTATATAACTAGATAATGAATGAATCACTTTTTTGTCCATGATTCTAACACTAAAGAAACAACAACATTAGTTACATGTTTACAAGTGGATTTCTAACTTTCTATTATTACTTTAACATTTTAAACTTTCTTCTTGAAAATCAACACTATGATTTCAAATATAATGCTCCTAAAATCAAAATCAAATTTCACTAAATTAATTAAATTGAAATGAAGTGAATCTGTCCTCTTCCCTCCTAATTTATATCTAGTGAAAACAATTCACAAAAATTAAGAGCCATAATTTTTGTATTTTTGGACGGCCAAATTAAGAGCCATAAATGGCTTAAACAAAAGTCTTTCTCATCATAAAAAGGAAAACCAGTGAAAACAAAGTAATTTAATATTATTTTCCCTTTTTATTTTATTACACCACCTCTCTTACACCTCATCACCTTTTTTCCCCACACTCTCCTTCTATAAATTCATCTTTCTGCCTCCCCTTTCCCTCAAACTTCTCTGGTTTTGCATCCCACAGAGAAAATTAGTTTAATGTTCAATTGCTCACCGGCTCCACCATATGTTTCTAGCTCATTTTTTTCATGTTTCTTGTATTTCACTACAGCTTTAGATTGTTTTTAAAATCTGCTTTAACATTTTCCCCTCTGGATGATAGAAAAATGACTCGCCAGATTTATACCAGCTTTGGATATAAGTCTTCAAGCATGACTTCAGAAAGAATAGCAACCTATATCATTCAAGAGATTATTGATATCCTTTCAGAAATGATGAGGTGAGTTCTCTTTTGAGCTATAATTAAGGAGACTCTTGGTGTTTAAGTTTCAAATTCAAATATGGGATAATTAATTAGTAGCATTTTTTTCTTTTTTTTCTCAGCATTATTATGAGTGGCGGTAGTGATTTTTTTTCCTGAGAAAAGCTGCTAACCACTAGAGTTTCTACGAGATGCATATCAATGTGTGTAAATCAATGTGTGGGACTGGGAAGAGTGGCAAACTGCACATTGTAAAATAAAAAAGCAAATATGTGGTTTAAATATAACATAATCTACGTACTTATTGTTTATTAATTTAGAGTTGAATACTCACGTTGTGTTTAAACCCACCATTTTTTGACAGAATGGAACAATTTATGGATTGCTACTCCAGCTGCAATTGTTAAAGCATCGTTTGGGTTCCTGATGTCTCCGATGGATGCATTTCATCGATTGACAGACGATCTATCTCTTCATTTGAGTGTACTTCATCGAAGAAAATTGGGTCTCCCATTTTCATCTAGATGATGATAAAAGCCCGGTGAAGAGGTAGAGTGGCCAAAACGACAACTTTTCCATCAAATACTGCATAAGGAATTCGCAACTACAGCACAACACCGTCATGTTAATTTGAGTTGTAAAGATAAAAAGCCAATATATAAGGAATCAGAGGATTTACCAACTGCAAGCTCTTGCTCCAAATTAATTAATATGCAACGTTCCTACTTTTTAAGTCTTATTACATGAACTAGTCCCTTTTAGTTGTCTTTTTTATCTTCTTATGATTTCTATAACGCTTTTATATAGTAGATAAATTGTAATTTAAAGAAAAAATGATCAAATAAAACTACTCAAAAACTACCTATAGAATATGCTATAACTAATGAGCCCAGATTCAATTTTAAAAAAACAGAAAATTTGGTACACCTCTACTTTGATATCCCTTTACACCAGTTCAGTTTAACTGTTAAAATATAATATAAATATAATTAATTTAGTTAATTATTATATGTTGTATGTATCATTACATATTTAAATCTTTTTATCTTTAATTTCATACCAAAAAATAATAATTTTAAAAATGTGTGTTGCAAAATATGTGTTGTACAGTGTGATAAATTGAAAAGTAAATCATTTAGTGTCCTTTAGAAAAACATTTTTTTACCAATTGTTTGAAGTTATCATATGTTTTCCTTTTATCATATGTCCTCCTTTTTTATTTATTCGCCAAACATGTACTCTTTATTGTTAGAGTAATTATTTTACAAAAATGCTATATAGTTACAGTGTCAAGTGGTATATATTATAAACTTATGATCTTGAGTGGGAGAAGTTCAGTTTCCCATAAATTAGGTCTCGAGTTTAAATCTTGTGAATAAAAAAACAAGTTGTGGGAGAGCTTTCCCCCTTGTGCGGTTAGACACGACTTGATTCTGAATTAGTCAAAGTCCAATATAGCTTCTAGATACCAAGAGATTAATACCAAAAAAAAAAAAAAAACTTATAATCTGATATGTCATTATATAATGAACTCTTTTTATTTAAAAGTCCACATGTGATATTGTGTGTATTTTAATATCACATCATTCTCATTTAATATTATGTCAACTTTTTTTAAAATTTTAAACCACGCTCGTCCACTAGACAAACTTCAACTTAAAAACTTTACTTATCTTCTACCACTAAAAATATCACATCTTCAATTTCTGTTTTGCCATAGGATCACTATTGCAGAATTTTTGCCATGCCATGGACTTCACACTCACAATTCTACCAAATGAATCCTTGAACACTAATCACATCAAGATCAAACCATTCACTCGGGAGCAGATGGAGAAGAAAGTATGAACACATATGAGGAGATATCATATTGAACCTAAAAGACATGCTTATTAAGTTTATGGGCCTCTCACATATATATTCCACTCTAACACCATGTTTTTATCAATGTAAGATCTTGTGCACATCTCTTAACTCTTAACTCCACTTACAAACTCATATACTCCAACAATTTTTCCTTCTTGAAAGTGTTAAAATTAATTCACAACTATATATTGCTAATGCACTTAGTTTTAATTGTTACGAGATAAGCATACTTTTCTTTCTATTAGTTGAAGGCAAAACTTGAGGATAATTGCACAAACTTTCACCAAATTCAATTCATAATTTGGGTTATAGGTTCAAATTTTAATCGTTTTGAAGTAAGAAGTAAGGACACAATCTTTAAATTGAAAAGAAGATTTAAGAAAACATATTTTAATATTTTTATTGTCATTTAAGTTCAAACAATATTCACTTTTAAAAATATAGCTTTAATAAAGCCCGATGAATGTGCTGATCAAAAATAAATAAATAAATAAGGCCTGACGAATGATTTCCAGCTATGCGTGGGATGAGTTAGGTTAATACTTAATCCTTATTTTAAAAAAAAAAATTGTTAAAAGTAAGGATTACGAAGAAAATTGGCACACGGGAACGCTAAAGTTGTAAATTCCAATAAAAATTTAATTTCATGGGAGGTAATCACTAAAATTTACAGTTGAATTTACTCCTTCTGTTCAATTTATTTGACATTTTAGAGATGTGCAGGAGAATTAAGAAAAGTAATTAATTACTCTTGAATTAAGAGATTTTTAAGTTTAAAATATTATTATATCTTGAGTCTAAAACAGGAGATTGGGTTGTTGAAGAGGGGACAGGAATCAGTAAAAAAAAAACACCAGTGAAAGTAAAATTGAAAAAAAAAAATTAATGCAATCTTGATATGCTAAAACGTCAATTATTTAGAAACAATTTTTTCTTTCTAAAACAACTAATATTATGGAACAGAGGGAATAATAGAGAAAATCTAGCGGTTCTCTTGTTCTGCGGAGATTGTCTAAATCTTGAAAAATGTACTTTCGTTGGTGATGTCAAATTTACCCATGCTCAGTGGTACCTGCAATTGGGCCATGATTCATGCACCTGTCAGTTTGACACTCGATGGGTACACACTGCATAAACCAAAAAATTTTAAAG